GTGTTATAATTTTTTTTTTTCCTAATTGGATGTCTGATTTTCATCTAGGTTATATTTATATATATTCTCCTCTTATAATTTCTATTATGCAATCATATATATATAATTTCTATTCTGCAATCAAGATTGTTGTTGCTCTGTTTGTTGTTTATGTTTGAAATGTGCGTAACAAAATGTTGCTCTCCTGTGCGTAACAAAATTAATTTTTAAAACTCAGTTTTATTCCACCAACAAAGGCAAAATTTTCCTAAAGTAGATACTTGAATAGTGAATGTAAAAATCTCTATTATAAATCACCCAATCTTATATATAAATAAAGTTTGTTATTTGTTTAGTATTGAATTATATAATTAATGTTATGGATAATGAAATGTTAATTGGTAATAATTCCATATATAAAATGTAATTGTATAATTTTGATGTAATTAATGAAACAGTTCATTCCTTGCTTATGAAAAAATAAAATAAAAATTTGTCCATTTCTTTAAAAGAAATTATATATGATTCATCAACAATAAGCATTGCTAATCCAGATATTACTGGGGGGGGGTCTGTTGGTCAATTTTATATGTGTATAAATTTAGTGTTTTTTTCTTTCTAATATAATGAAAAGTTCCTTCCTTCAATGGACAATAAACAGCCATGCAGAATTTATATACTCTGTGTGTGTGTGAGAGAGAGAAAGAATGTGTCCAGAATTCATAAATAAGAAAGGAAGATGATGGCATCTCCGACATTTAATAATGAGAAACTTTGTTAACAAAGTACTGTTGTTAACAAATTTCTACTCTGTGTGTGTGTGTGAGAGAGAGAGAGAATGTTTTTTTTTTTTTGGAAAGTTAAGCTGGTTTTTCCATTAAACCACAAAGGCAAAATCCATACATCTTACTTGGGCCATTCCCCAAGTAATAATATATTCCCAAAGTGAGAATTCTCAACAGGACTTGGTTACTGGTGCACCTAGGGGTCTTGAACTGGCTCATTGCTGCCCCATTTCTTATGTAGTACTCCAAAATCTTCTTAAAAGTCCCTCTCTCCAAAATGCAAAGCTAGAGCCCCAACTGAGTTGGTTCTCCTCAACACAACGTATCTATGATCGACGAAAGATGCATCCATTTCCCTGCAGCATTCGCTCAGAACCCTCTCTTCCACTTCCCCTTTGATCTCCCAGTAAATTATGTACTGACCAGGTTTCTTGTCATTGTCAGCATGGCTCATGAAATCGACTAGTTCGCCTCTTGCCTTGCTCAGTATCTGTGATCCCCTCTACACCACAAACTGCAGGTCTTTTCTGTGTTTTTGTCTATATTTACAGTTAAAATTAGCTTCCTTCTGCATATAAAGGTCAGTTTTGGAGTTCCTTTGTAAAAATCAGCCACCTCCACCATATTTCCTAATCTATACCTATAAAGCGCTGATCATAATGTAGGACATGAGAGAGTGATCAGTTAGTTGAAGAAATCAACATCAAATGACATATATAATCAAAAGAAAATAACGGCACAAGAATTAAACAGTGACTAGTGACCACACAATTAATTGAACATTACCATAAGGTCCACATATAATTAATAATAAACTATAATGACAGTGATGGTCCATGTTTCATATTGACTCAAAGGTTTACTTATCTCTAGATAATTGCTAAAACTATCTGTCTTATCTGACAGTCGCTGCATTTTAGATAATTGCTAAAACTATCTGTCTTATCTGACAGTCGCTACATTGTTAGAAAGTTTCTGATTTCACACACACACACACACACACGTACTCACACACATGCAAGCACGCACGCACGCACACACGCACCATTATTTTTCCATTAGTGGACAAATTAAAGTTGTTGATCCACACACACACACACACACAAATTAAAGTTTTTGAAATTTATGTTGTCTTTGAAGTTTTTGGCATCTTTTTTTTTGTCCACCTCTTGTTGACACACACACACACACACACACACATATTATTTTTCCATTAGTAGACAAATTAAAGTTTTTGATCTTTATGTTGTCTTTGAAGTTTTTGGCATCCTTTTTTTGGTCCACCTCTTGTTGTCTTTGAAGTTGTAAGTTATGTGGTTGGAACATAATCTTCTTGTTGAGTTTGCTGAAATCCATGTGCTACCTCAGCTTTTGGGTCAAACTCATTTTAGACAAATTATGGGACTTTGACTTAGCCTCTTAGTAAATATGGTGCACTAACCCCATTTATATGTAATAATCCCTATCATATTTAACTTTGGAGATTCCAAAGACTTTTGTTTTCCCTTCCTGAAAAGCTTGTCAATTCAGTTTTCGAAACATATGTTTTTTTTTAGTTTTGGATTTTAATTGCTTTTGATGAATTTGTATCAAGTATTCCTGTACTTAATCTTTCCCTTTTTATCTTTTTTGGTACATCAGGAAATGGATATATTATTTCTTGTTTCTGTTTGTTACTTGTATAATGGAAATTTACTCTTTTAGTTTAGATCTTAAGAGACGTTTGAACTCGTAAACAAATAAATTCTGCTAAAGTGTATCTGGTCTTAAACTAAGGAGATGACATTTGTGTAAATGTCTTAAGTAGTTATATGGAACTCACTTTTCCAGTTGATAAAATTGACAAGAACATTATTCAGAATTATAAAAATAAATTTTCTATACTTTTTTGACATCCATAACAAAGAATATATCTTGGTTGATTTATTTAAATGTTTATTAGGATTTATTTTTTACAATTGAAGTAGTAAATCATACTTGTACTGTTCATAGATGTTCATTGGGGATGGAGCAAAACTTGTTCGTGGTGCTTTTTAGCTTACGAAGGATAAATCTCCTTGCATTATTTTTATAGATGAAATTGATGTTATAAGCATAAAGCGGTTTGACAGGTATGCCACATCTCTATTTTATGTGTAATTTTCTAATCTGCCTTGGCAATTTTCTGAATCTTGGTGTAATGGATTTTGGATTGAATACTTAAGAAGTTATATCATAATGTGACTAATTGATTGTAAATTGTTTCTTTCAATGCAGTGAAGTCAGTGGGGATAGAGAGGTCCAACGGACAATGTTAGAGTTACTCAATTAGCTTGATGGATTTAGTAGTGATGAACGGATAAAGGTCTTTATGTTTGCCTTTAATTAAACACACTTTTAGTTTTTTGGTCACACGTTCAGGCAATTGTGAGCATTTAGAAGGTTTTGAATTCAATAATTAGCAGAGTTTTATTTGGTCCCTATATTTTTGGCATGGAGATTGTTTCTTCAGAACTTCTTACTTTGTTGAAGGGTCAGATATAATTCTGGGCTATTGTTTCTACATTTTAAGTGTCTTCAGATTATAGTTTTCCTCACCGGCTGAGTCATAGCAGACTTTTTTGTGCCCGTGTCTATGAACCATGCTTCAGATGCCACCAACAAATAGCTACTTCACTAATAAAATTTCAGTTAACTTAAATTATTATCTGAGTTAGTAATTCAGTATTTCGTAATCTCATGAACTGCAGGTAACAAATAGAGCTGATATTTTGGATCCTGCACTCATGCGTTCTGGTCGATTGATAAACTTATTATTAGGCAAGGTAGGTTAGGTGACACGACTCGACATTAGGGACCGACAATAACACTGCTTGAGTGAGGCAATGTGTATATTTTGGTCATTTATATTTATTTGTGTACGTAATTTGGACATTTTCGTTAGACTTTTTCTCAAATATCACCGATTCCATTATAATCTAAAAATATTTGTGTACATATTTTAGAGCAATTTTGTTCAAGTTTGGTCATAGAAATCTAATTTTTTCCCTAAAAAAAAAAATTGTTAAATTTTTTTAGCATCCATACTAGAGAAGAAAATTAGGGAACATAGTAGAATGAATAAAGATTTAATTTGTTAAAAAATGTATGAATATATAACAATTAATAGGCATGAACACACCAAAGACTATAACTGAACGACCAGAGAGAAAATGGCTTTCAGTGCCAAACAGTTGGTGATGAATCGGGTAGAAACTAAAAGAAGGCAAGAAAAATTGGGTGTGAACTTTAAACACCTTCTAGTAAAAAAATTCTTCTCTTTTCACAGAAATTAAAAAATAAAAAATAGTTAGAACCCAAATCAGCAAAAATCCTGCTAAGGATGACACCTTTTTCATGATTTTGTTAAGCAACAAAAGGAACAAGATGAACAGAAAGCATTCAAGAATGAAAAGGTACCTTCGTCCTGGTAGAACTGAACAACTGGTCGCTGGCCGTCGCTCCCCTCTGGTCGCTGCTTACTGGTCGCTGGCCGTCGCTCCCCTCTGGTCGCTGCTCATTGATCGCCGGTCGCCGGTCGCCGGTCGCTGTTCGCTGTACATCGTCTACTTCGTCACACAAAAGGCACGGAAATGGTTAAGGGTTTGTTGATCGCTGTTTACAGAGAAGGGGGGAGAGAGAGGGAGGCACGAACGAAGGCCTTCGAATTTACTTTGTGATCAACCATAATCAATACAAAATAAATACAAGTAGCAATGATGCAAATATTGAAAATATAACCCTCTAACTATTAATTACATAACTACCCAAAGTGTCGGTCTAAGGATCCCGAAGAATCCGCCGAACAAATCAAAGTAATTATTAATTAATAAAAGAGTCTATACTTTTCTCATGCTTAAGAGTCTAATGCCATGACGGTGATAGGGAGTAATTGCATACGACGGCTCTCGCAATATATCTCAACCTAACGCGGATCCAGTTCAAGTCTTAATTAATTATGAGTCCATCCATAATTACCGACTATGAACAATTTATAATTACTATTTATATATCATGCATTGATTGTCATCACATACATATATATAAATATTTCTCTTAATTACATGGACACTATCAATTTCATAGTGAATCGAAACATAATACATTGAATTCACCAATTATATAAATCATAAATATTTCAGATATGTCAGGAACATATGTCACTATAATCCAGATAGGAATTTGCTATGCCAGGGCATATAAATCCCAACACTTCTAACTTCCTGATCTATTGTCATTAACTATCCAATTACAAAATCTTGGTTTACATGGAATTTACTATAGCACAACACATAGAAAAGCATCATCAAGTTAGGTACATTTTTTTCTGCTCCCAACCATATTGAAAATACAGTAAACTCAGCTACACTGGCTGAACGTTTATATTGTTCACAATCACACAATAAAAGGCCTTAAAAAAAAAATAATAAATAAATAACAAAAGCAAACAAACAAATAAACGGAAACAAAAAAGGAAGAAGAAGACACTTGTAGCTGAAATTTCATTACTCCTTGTCTGGAGCATGGATTTTCTAGGCATCTTCACATTCTAGTAAAACTTGGAGTACTGAATCCATTGTTGGTCGCTTGCTTCTATCTTCCTCCACACAGGAAATGCCAATTTCAACCAGTTTCACGGCTTGGGACCTGTTAAATTGTCCTCTCAATCTTGGATCCACGTCTATATCCTCTATCCAAGAGTCTTTTTCACATTGAATTTTCCTCTTCACCATCCTGACAAACCTTGTAAGCTCCGGCTCCTGTTCTTCATCATCCTCTAATATCGCCCAATTCGAAAGCCGAATTCCCTTCAGAATCTCTAGAATCACAACTCCATAGCTATAGACGTCCACTTTTGCAGTGATAGGAAGGTTCAGAGCCCACTCTGGAGCTATGTACCCTTTTGTCCCTCGAATGCGAGAGACCTCTGATCCCGGGGTACCTCTCTGAGACAGTTTTGCTAGCCCAAAATCCGCAATCTTGGGCTCAAAATCACTGTCGAGAAGTATATTTTCAGGCTTCACATCACAGTGGATAACCCATTCTAGACACTCATGGTGAAGGTAGGCCAAACCTTTGGCTACCCCTATTGCAACTTTAAATCTCTCTTTCCATCCAAGAAAACCTGTGGAAAATAAGTGCTTGTCCAATGAACCATTTTGGATATACTCATAGACTAAGAGTCTATGCCTCAATTCTGCACAGAATCCCCACATTCTCACTAGGTTCATGTGATTGATTTTTCCTATTGTACTCACTTCTGCCCAAAATTCTTCTTCCCCTTGTAGCACATCTCCCAATCTCTTCACCGCCACCACCCTTTCATCTGCCAATACACCCTTATAAACTGCCCCAAAGCCTCCTCTTCCTAGGACTTCCTTGAAATTCATGGTTGCCTTCTTAAGCTCTCTGTAGCTAAACTTCCTGAACTGACTTGATAGAACCAAATATCCTTCTTCGACGATATTGGGCACGCCAGTTCTTCCGAAAAGAGAGCAAACGCCTATGAAAAACATAAGCTCAATTGCTCCAATTACTGAAGAGAACGAATAAAGATAAATCCATTTCACTCCTTTACTTAACTCATACATGGAAGGAGAACCCACCCCAATTTCAGGTACACTGGATCCACATTTGGGATCAGAGCCATTTAGGATTGTGGGTTCTGATGCTTGCACACTTGTCGGAAGCCTCAAGTATATAGTGGCTGGAAAACTTATAGACTGGTATCCATTGAAAAGTGCACTTTTTGTGTAACATTGTCCATATCCTATAAGCCTATAGCTAAATGCCTCGCAACTGCAATCCCCCAAGCAGATTTCCCTACATTCTTCTAGTGAGATAGATGTGGTAAAATTAAGATCAAACCCCCAGTAATCGGTGTGGGGAAGCTCTACAAATTTCACCTGCTCAGAGTTTGAACAGGTTCGATTGAACGTTGGTTTGCAACCTTCATTCCAGTCAGTTGAGTTTCTTACCTCAAAACCAGGAGGGCATGAACACAATGGTTCTGGTGTATAAACACAAATCCCATATCTCCCACATATCCCATGCACATTACATGGCTGTGTAAGAGCTTGCCATGTTCTATCCCACCATCCTGTCGAATCATTCAAGCTATAAAGCCTTAGATTCCCATCAAAATCAATTGTTAGCCGTCTTTTGATACCAAAACCCATGTCAGAAGCATTGAAATGAAGCCTATCACTGGATTGAAAGCCACCCATATCATCTAACAGACCAATTCTGCTACTGTTATAGTTTGTTCTTCCATTTCGGTACACATCATAATCAGGATTAGGCCAATATTGGCTTGATACCTCAGGCCCATCATAGATCAACCTCAATACATTATCATTATCATAAAGTAAACTAAAGTAACCAGAAGCAAAACTTCCATTTTTCATTGCAGATATCAACTTCTTGCTCTTTGTAAAGCTCTGAGAAGGCAATAGAGTATCAGTTGGAAAATCAAAGCTTTGCCAGAGAATTTTACCATTCGGGTCTGTCAAAACAAGGTTGCCTGTGTTATGAAGCTCTGCTCGAGCAACATCAGTGGAGGTGGTATTAGTCTCCCATACAATTGAGCCATCAATATCGGCCAACACCATGGCTCCATTTCGCCGTAGAGATATCTTGGAACCCCGGCTGTTGACAGGCTTGTCTCGATTAGCCATCCAAACAACTGTTCTGTCTCTGGCATTTGTGAACCAAATTGCAAACCAGTAAGCATTGCTTCCAACACTATAGAAGCCACAAGTGAATGAATTGTCTGGGGAGGTAATAAGGCCTGAGTCATCCTCAACTGATAGAGAAGAACCTCTCTCCAAATAACTCTGAACCTCTGAAGTTGAAGAAATAGAGAAGTAAGAGATGAGAATGAAGAAAGGAATGAAACGGTAAGTAGATGAAAGAGTTTGGTTTCTCATTATGGTTCAAGAGTTTGGTTCAGAACTTGGTATTTGGTGGTTGAAAATAATATGTTTTTTTTAGCATTATATATAGTATAATGAATATACATAAAGAAGGAAAACATTGTGTTACCAAGGAGCATTGTTGATGAAACTGCCCAAAGTTTCCACATAGTCTAACACGGCAGCTTTCTTTTGTCTGACCAAATTTATTGTTTCTTTGAGAAAAATAGGTCTCATAGACAAATGATGAAGCTTGCAGAAAATATGCGTTGCTATGCTATTTTTATAAAAAAAAATAATTGCTCACACACCTGAATTTTCCAATAGGTTAAATCCATAATGATGTCCGTGTTGTAGAAGTTAATTTATAGAATTATGATAATACAGTAGTCATATTCGTGAACTTCATCTTCTTATTGAGGTCCTTCAAAATAAATTTTGTAAAACCAAGAATGAGTCTTTGGACTACCAGATACCATGGAAGACTTGCAAGAAATATTGGAGAGGGGAGTCCAAAGACTTCTGGTAGGACTCTCTGTCTCATTATGACAACTTACATGAACATTACAGTTTTGGAGTCCTATATACGTACCCACATCAAAAAGACCAACTAATTTCAATATGTGGCTATTGATTAATTGATTAAGAATGTCATGTGGTTAAAAATTAGAAGACTTTGTTAGCAAATTGGTCAAAGTCAGGTTGTCTACAATAAAATTTCAGCCACATTCAGTCTTACTCCACAATCCAATCAAAGAACATGTTACGGAATATTCGACTAGATAGTCCTATACACGTACCCACATCAAAAAGACCAACTAATTTTAATATGTGGCTATTGATTAATTGATTAAGAATGTCATGTGGTTAAAAATTAGAAGACTTTTTAGCAAATTGGTCAAAGTCAAGTTGTCTACAATAAAATTTCAGCCACATTCAATCTTGCTCCACAATCCAATCAAAGAACATGATACGGAATATTCGACTAGAGACTCAAAATAAATGGATGAACTTAAGGAGATAGAAATAACAACTACTACCCCATCTAATGACTCTAACAATCCGGAATGAACAAGGAAAATAAATCCTTCTATAAAAGAAGTTATCAGTCAACCTAAAAAGGTACGCCATAAATCCCATATTGAATCTTTTATCGGGGAGAGAATCGTCAAGTATTAACTTGATCGTCGAAGTGCACCCAACCGGCACCACACCGGTCATCACTTCTCTTCGTCTTGCAGGAATCGATCCGGACTTGACTTGCAGGAATCTCCATGGGCTCCGGAGCGTGTAGATTTTTGTATTAACAGAACATAAAACCAGGAAACAAAAAGTCATTTTCTGGGAAAAAACTAACATATAAATCATCCATCATTACAGCAACAAGAAAAAAAAAAAAAAAACAAAAAAAAACAAACAGAACTTCATAGTTTCTGCAATAAGACCTCCCCATTTAACCTCTAATTTTTTAGGAAACACTTTTTCATGTATAATACATACACACGCACAATTTGAAACAATGTACTGATTATTGTCCTCTTACAAATGTCACACTCCTTTTGTTTTTAGAATATATGACAATTTAGTTAAAAGAAGAAACTGTACGAAGAAAACAGTTACCGAAAAAAAACGTATGAAGAATTTTAATATTTTCGATAGAATTTTCTTAGGTCTTCCTTCCCCTTGGCCTCATCAAAATTAAAATATACCTATTCTGGTAGAACACTAGGAATCTGGTAAGAAATAAGCTAGATAGGAAGTGGAAAATAATCAGTACGGGTTTAAAAAGGATCATTTGGCCAGACATTTACTCGATTTGGTGATTCGAGCTATAGAATTAAGGTACTTGTGTTCCTATCATCTCATCACTTCCTGCTCGCCATTATCATGCACATACAACAGATGTATTTTGGCATAGATCCCACTTGTAAGCTCAGTTTAACCCCCTCTTCCTGTCTCTTGTCCTCTCTCTTTCTCTCTCTCTCTCTCTCTCTCTGATAGGAAACATCATAAATGAATAGAAATCAACCTGTACGATGTACCTTATTATTATTATTAATGGCAGTTGAGTTCTTAGAGTGATGGTTGAGTTTCTAGGTGATGAATTTCCTCCGGCATGAAAGAAATTTCCTTTACCAGGAAATGGAATCCTTGTTAATTTCAGAATGGATTTTTACTCAAGCCAATCAGATCCTAAATCATGAATAGAAGTTTTGGGGGAGCCCCGACTGATCCCTATATTTTCTCCTGTTTAAATCAGTAACATTTTCATGAAATTTTAAACTGGTGATATTCGATCAGTTTTATTCACAGCTCTCCTTTTTTTTGGTCTGTCTTTGGTCTCAGTAACAGTGTTTTGTACATTAAGGCTCCATTTGTTTGGACGGAAAAAATATTTTCTTTTTTCGGGTAAAATATTTATTTTTACTTTTTGTTGTTTGGCTAAGGTCTGGGACGTCAAGATTGAGATCGAGTCCATCGGGTGGAGCGTATAAAATAACTTGTCAAAAATTGATTGGTAAGTTATTTTTGTTAGGTTTTAATAATTTTTTTCTTCATAAATATTTTACGACAACCAAACACTAAAAACTAAAAAAATATTTTACATCCAAACAAACTAACCCTTAATGTAAAGCATGACATCACAAGGTTGGAACCATTAAGGTTCCGTTTGTTTTGAAGTAAAATATATATATGTCGGAAAAGATGTTTTTTTTCAGGTATAATATTTTTTTTTTATTTTTACTTTTTTGTATTTGGCAAAGGTTTAGATTGAGATTGAGATCGAGTCTATCGGACATATAAAATATCTTGTCAAAAATTGATGGGTAAGTTATTTTTATTACATTTTAATATTTTTTTCTTCGTAAATATTTTACGATAATCAAACACCAAAAAATAAAATATTTATATATTTTCAGAAAAATATTTCACATCCAAACAAACGAGCATTAATGTTTGTGTAATTAATGTATCCAAATGAGCCCTTTTGAGAATTAAACACTCTCATTACTTAATCCGTTAATAAATGGAGTTTAAGAAAGGTTGTGGAATGTGGACACCAGGTCAGACTCAGAGCATGAGATAAAATGGGCAAGAAAGTTTATAAAAACCAAATGTGTAAGATCACAAACTATATGTATATTTATATATATGCAGAACCTAAATTGATATGATCATCATGTTCACATGAACATGTTTACCACTTTGCTAATGTTTGTTTTTATGCAATCTTTGTGATTTATCTGCATAAATGATAAAACTACAGCCATTCAGGAAAACTTTACTGAGGGATTCTCATTTCCACATATATATACAGGGATTCTATCAGGTAACGTATATCTTTATATATCATCGTTGTCTCTCATGCCGTGTTACATTTCTACTGAAAATATGGTGCACGTTAGAATTTTTTTAGAAGATATGCCATCCAATAGATGGTACCTGTTGCAGCACACCCTAGCTCACAAGTTTCATCCAGGAAGGGATATTTTTAAAGCTATTTTGGCTGCTTCCAGAGCTATGTAGCCTATGTAAGCAGCTCAACAAACATTTTAACCTGATGCATGAAGCAGTTAAATTGCTTTAGAAAAAGTTGTTTTAATTTCCTGATCTATATTGTCATTAACTATCCAATAACAAAATCTTGGTTTACATGGAATTTATTATACTCTCATCTATATTGAAAATACAGTAAACTCAGCTACTCTAACTGAACGTTTATATTATTCACAATAACGGCCTTAAAAAAAACAAAACAAAAACAAAAACAAAAACAAAAACAAAAAAGAAGAAAGAAGACACTTATAGCTGAATTTCATTACTCATCGTCTGGAGCATGCATTTTGTATTCATCTTCACATTCTAGTAGAACTTGGAGCACTGAATCCATTGTTGGTCGCTTGCTTCTATCTTCCTCCACGCAGGAAATACCAATTTCAACCAGTTTCACTGCTTCGGACCTGTTAAATTGCCCTCTCAATCTTGGATCCACATCTATATCCTCTATCCAAGAGTCTTCTTCACATTGAATTTTCCTCTTCACCATCCTGACAAACCTTGTAAGCTCCGCCTCCTGTACTTCATCATCCTCTAATATCACCAAATTCGAAAGTCGAATTCCCTTCACAATCTCAAGAATCACAACTCCATAGCTATAGACATCCACTTTTGCAGTGATAGGAAGGTTCAAAGCCCACTCTGGAGCCATGTACCCTTTGGTCCCTCGAATGCGAGAGACCTCTGATCCCTGGCTACCTCTCTGAGACAGTTTTGCTAGACCAAAATCCGCAATCTTGGGCTCAAAATCACCGTCTAGAAGTATATTTTCAGGCTTCACATCGCAATGGATAACCCATTCTAGACACTCATGGTGAAGGTAGGCCAAACCCTTGGCCATCCCAATTGCAACTTTAAATCTCTCTTTCCATCCAAGAAAACTTGTGGAAAACAAGTGCTTGTCCAATGAACCATTTTGGATATACTCGTAGACTAGGAGTCTATGCCTCACTTCTGCACAGAATCCCCACATTCTCACTAGGTTCATGTGATTGATTTTTCCTATTGTACTCACTTCTGCCCAAAATTCTTCTTCCCCTTGTAGCACATCTCCCAATCTCTTCACTGCCACCACCCTTTCATCTGACAATACACCCTTATAAACTGCCCCAAAGCCTCCTCTTCCAAGCACTTCCTTGAAATTATTGGTTGACTTCTTAAGCTCCCTGTAGCTAAACTTCCTGAACTGACTTGATAGCTCCAAATATCCATCTTCAACAATATTGGGCACACCAGTTCTGAAAAGAAACCAAAGGCTTACAAAAAACAAAAGCTCAATTGCTCCAATTACTGAAGCGAACGAGTAAAGATAAACCCATTTCACCTCTTTGCTTAAGTCAAACATGGCGGGAGAATCCACCCCAATTTCAACTACACTGGATCCACATTTGGGATCAGAACCATATAGGACTGTGGGTTCTGATGCTTGCACACTTGTCGGAAGCCTCAAGTATATAGTGCCTGGAAAACTTATAGACTGGTATCCATTGAAAAGTGCACTTTTTGTGTAACATTGTCCATATCCTGTAAGCCTATAGCTAAATGCCTCGCAACTGCAATCCCCCAAGCAGATTTCCCTACATTCTTCTAGTGAGATAGATGTGGTAAAATTAAGGTCGAACCCCCAGTAATCGGTGTGGGGAAGCTCTACAAATTTCACCTGCTCAGAGTTTGAACAGGTTCGATTGAACAATGGTTTGCAACCTTCATTCCAGTCAGTTGAGTTTCTTACCTCATAACCAGGAGGGCATGAACACATTGGTTCTGGTGTATAAACACAAATCCCATATCTCCCACATATCCCATGCACATTACATGGCTGTGTAAGAGCTTGCCATGTTATATCCCACCATCCTGTCGAATCATTCAAGCTATAAAGCCTTAGATTCCCATCAAAATCAATTGTTAGCCGTCTTTTGATACCAAAACCCAAGTCAGAAGCATTGAAATGAAGCCTATCACTGGATTGAAACCCACCCATATCATCCAACAGACCAATTCTGCGACTGTTATAGTTTGTTCTTCCATTTTGGTACATCTCATAATCAGGATTAGGCCAATATTGGCTTGATATCTCAGGCCCATCATAGATCAACCTCAATACATTATCATTATCATAAAGTAAACTAAAGTAACCAGAAGCAAAACTTCCATTTTTCATTGCAGTTATCAACTTCTTGCTTTTTGTAAAGCTCTGAGTAGGCAAAAGAGTATCAGTTGGAAAATCAAAGCTTTGCCAGAGAATTTTACCATGTGGATCCTTTAAAACAAGGTTACCTGTATTATGAAGCTCTGCTCTAGCAACATCAGTGGAGGTGGTATTAGTCTCCCACACAATTGAGCCATCAATATCGGTCAAGACCATGGCTCCATTCCGCCTTAGAGATATCTGGGAACCCTGGCTGTTGACAGGCTTGTCTCGATTCGCCATCCAAACAACTGTTCTGTCTCTGGCATTTGTGAACCAAATTGCAAACCAGTAAGCGTTGCTTTCCGCACTATAGAAGCCACAAGTGAATGAATTGTCTGGGGAGGTGATAAGGTCTGAGGCATCCTCAACTGATAGAAAAGAGCCTCTCTCCAAATAATTCTGAACCTTTGAAGTTGCAGAAGAGATGAGAATCAAGAAAAGAATGATGAGATAAGGAGATGAAAGAGTTTGGTTTCTCATTATGATTCAAGAGTTTGCTTCAGAACTTGGTTGTTGAGAAGAATATGTTATTTGAGCATTATTGTCTAATGTATATATGTAAAAGAAGAACGAAAACATTTTGCTGACAAGGAACATTTTGGATGAAACTGCCCCCATAGGTTCCAAATTGTCAACATAGCTGGCTTTCTTTTGTCTGATTAGCTTTGTTGTTTCTTTGAGAAGAATATATATACTTGCAAAAAAAATATCCATTACAATGCTTTTTATTAAAATAATTATTCTCAGACTTGAATACTCCAATAGTTTAAATCCACTATGATGTCCGTGTTTAATAAATTATAATTAGTAGAAATTCTGATAATATATTTGTTGGGAAACGTGTTAGTGTTAAAAACTTTTTGAGGGATTTTAATTCATAGATCTTGATTCATCACATAGAGATAAGTTTTATGCAAAAATAAAACATGATGTATCATTCAATTAAAAGATTGAATACTTACATCAAGGTTTGAGTAAATCTTAGATTTCTCCTCTAAAGTGAATGTTCTCACTTATTGTAGATCCCTTTTGCTAGACACTTTTTCCATAGATCCTCATCTTCTTGGTAATGGTCTTACCTTTAGGAATCACTCATAAGCCTTCATGAATGACCTTGAAAAATTAGACTTGTGGGAGCCTCCATTAGATGAGAATACTAACCCTAATTTTCTAAAGAGAGAAAATTTATTCCTTTTTCCTTCTTCCAAAAATCACCCCTAAAATATTCATAAACCGTGTATATTTATAGGCAACATAAAGGTAAAGAAAAGGAAATAACAAATCATTCTCAATCTCTAATTTACATGTCTCAAATCTAATATGATTCCAATATCAAGTTGGGCTATGAGTGAGAATCCATTGGGCCTATTATTTTATTGGCTACAATGAATTAATAATTGGCCCGGTCCATGGACCCAATTCAATTAATTCATAAATTAATTTCTACTCCACTAAAAGAAATTAATTGAACTCCAATTAAATAATAAATAACCTCTAAGTCAATATTACACTTTGACCCCTCTATGCATAATTAGTTATCGGATAAATAAAGCCATCAATCCGACTACTTAATTAATATATTTATTTTGGTACCTTTGATTATTTCTGGCTCGATCACAATAAAACATTTGTTTGACAAAAATAATAATTTAAATAAATAAATATATAATAAATCATTTTGTCTAAAAACACACGAAGGCCTTCGAAATTACTTTGTGATTAACCATAATCAATACAAAATAAATACAAGTAACAATGATACAAATATTGAAAATATAACCCTCTAACTATTAATTACATAACTACCCAAAGTGTCGGTCTAAGGATCCCGAAGAATCCGCCGAACAAATCAAAGTAATTATTAATGAATAAAAGAGTTTATACTTTTCTCATGCTTAAGAGTCAAATATCATGACGGTGATAGGGAGCAATTACATACGACGGCTCTCGCAATATATCTCAACCTAACGCGGATCCAGTTCAAGTCTTAATTAATTATGAGTCCATCCATAATTACTGACTATGAACAATTTATGATTACTATTTATATATCATGCATTGATTGCCATCACATACATATATATAAATATCTCTTGTAATCAAATGGACACTATCAATTCTATAATGAATCGAAACATAATACATTGAATTCACCAATTGTATAAAACATAAATATTTCAGAAACGTCAGAAACATATGTCACTATAATCCAGATAGGAATTTGCTATGCCAGGACATATAAATCCCAACAGCTCCCACTTGCCCTCATAGCTAATTCAAATTGCATCTAACTCCAATGTTATCCAGGTGATGATCAAAACCATTGATCGATAACACCTTTGTTAATGGATCAACAAAGTTGTGTTCCAATGCAATGATCTAACCATGAGCATATTTTCTTGTCGGACAATATCATGTAGAACATGATACTTTCCTCTCAGTGTACCTTGTTCCTCTATGGAACCTTGGGTCATTTGTTTGGACTACTTCTGCACTATTATCGCAATTTAACTCGATAGGTAGGCTAGTATACTCCACAACCTCTAAATCAGTGAGATCAAACCCAAAGGCTTCTTTTGCCCCCTTTAAGGCTACAATGTACTCCACCTGCAGGTTTAAGTCCGCAGTTGAAATCTGCTTAACAATCTACTAACTGATTTCCCTTCCATTGAGTGAACATACACTAAGTCATGAACCTCATAGTATCTACTTCTGATTGAAAATCAGAACTAACATACCTGACTAGGACCATATCATCACATCCATAAATGAGTATGAGATCATCGGTTCTCCTTAGGTACTTAATGATATTTTTCACAACAGACCAGTTATTAAGTCCAGGATTGGATTGATATCTACTGACTATCCCTACTATGTAACGGATGTCTTGTTTGGTATAGACCATGGCATTTATGAGACTCCCATATGCCAAAGCATATAGTTCCAGTCTCATTTGCTCAATCTCTTCTGCTAGTCTTGGAAAACTACTTACTAGAGAAAGCAATCCATATCAATAAAGCAAGAACTCATTCTTTGAGTTATGCATACCAAACCTGGTCAAAACTTTATTAATGTAGGATTATTAAGATAAGCCTATTTTCCTTTTAAGCTGATCTTGCAAAAGCTTGATCATAGGAATATAGCTTAAATCTTGAAAATCCTTCATTAAAAAGTAATTGAACAACTACCTCCTTATTGATGACAAAACTTCCACATCATTCTATATGAGTAGGATGTCATCAATATATATAGAATCAGAAAAATAATGACATTCCCTTGTACACTCATGATTTATTCACTAAGAAATCTTCTGGTATCTTTTTGTAGATTAACTTGCCTTCTATAGGAATCACCCTACTAGAAAGTTCTACAAGATCCCAGAATTTATTAGAATACATAGATTCCAACTCTGATTTCATAGTAACTTGCCAAAACGATCTGTATCCATATCGGTTCGCGCTTCCGTGTAGCTTACTGGGTCCAACTCATGTTTAACAGGGATGTCCATAACGGTCTCACCTAAAAACATGATTCTGTCGGATTGGATAATTATCCTCCCACTACATCAATGTACCGATGAAGGAATCTGTGTACTAGACGATGCTGATGCATCAATAAAGAATTCATCTATAATTCTAAATCTCTATACTAAGTGGGTTCATATGTAGTACATCTGGTACTCATACCATATTCTCTAACACTATGTTAATAGGTATGTGATTCATAATATGATTCTCCTATAGATAAACAGTGAGTGTAAACAATCAACTTTTATCATTGAGATCATAAAATAATCCGTCCTAGTGACTTTTAGAGTAGCTATCAAATCTATCATACGTATGATCTGTTTCCAACTTACTTGTCCATATCAAGCGCACCTGTGCAAGACTACCCCATATGCGCATGTGATTCAAACTAAGATTTAGTTAAAAACACAGCTCAATGGTATCCTTGAGACAGATTAAGATGGAATACAGTTCATAATGCGCATCGATGTCATTAACGCTAAACTCTTAAATGAAAGAGATAATGTGTGATCGGTTGATCAACTAAACATCAACCTTCGCAATAGCACGAATCATTGTAAAATAGGGCTATTGGTCGGGTAAGTCGAACCACTGGGACTGCGCTAGTCTATGGCAATCTAAGTGTCTAGAATTGTTCTTAGAATGATAAGGGGTTTATAGACGGTTTTGGTTGTTTGTCACTTAAACTTAGAACTTAGAATGCATAAAATAGAACTTGCAAGAATTTAAAAGAGATAAAATGTCGGTAAAAGAGACTAGGGAAGTAACTTCACCATCTACAATATAAACATGCTAGAATATGATTCATTCGGGGAAAAACAACATAAATATGTGGCTATGATAAGTAGTTACTCATGGTTACTACATTACCTTCAAAGGATTCATGGAATCAATAGGCAAGAACAATTTATCAAAGATTTTACATGCTCAATTACCTAAACTAAAGTGTAATTTAAGACATGTTCACTAAGCTAGAAATTGTCAAACCATCAATCACATGATAAGAGCACATGAAGCTAAGAATTAAGAATAAGCCATCAAGGGAAGAACCTAAGTTATGGCCTATCAAATCTCTCAACAACATGCCATTAAAACCATTCCAAAAATCTCATCTTCATTGTCACCATGAAAATGTAAACCATACAACCATGAAAACATACATTCTAAGACAAGAAAGTAGGTCCAACATGATCATTAAATCAAAATCAATTCATTACATCAAGTAAGAGTTCTAGATTATGGAATCAACACAAAAATACATTATTTTTCCCAAACTAGAATCAAAAGTAAAGCATGCTTACAATGAGGGGTTCCATTACCTCCCTAGAGGAGGAGTTAGTTACACATGGGAGCCTTAGAATGAAGAAGAACCATGGATCCTCCTTCCATTTTCGAGCTCCCCTTTCTTGCTCCAAGAACTCTCCTTCCTTTGCTCTCTTCTCTCTCCTCTAATCTTGTAGAATGAAGCTCCCCTCTATTGTGTGGCTCATATCCCTCTTATCTACCACCAAAAGGCCACCAACCAACATCTCCAACCACTTCATTAAAGAGGAAAACAAAATGAAGAAACCAATGTGCAAGTGGGCTGAAATGAGCCATTTTCGAAGGGCATTCTGCCCAAAATTCGAGCACTCTAAGCAAGGCCTCGAGCACTCGAATTTAGTGTAAAAAGCTCCATGCTTCACTTGCTCCGCCCAGACCTACTTTGGTTAAACAGCCATAACTTTGCACTCCGAACTCCGAATGATGAACCGTTTGAAGATTTAGAAAGCTAATTCAGAGCTCTAAATATTTCATGTTTTAGTGGAGATCCAATTCTTAAGGATGGTTGGTCAAAAATGAAGATCAAGGCAGAATTTCATTGCTGCCAGGCAGTTCTGCGCACCTCTGGTAACAAGGCCATAACTCTCTGCTCTGAGCTCCGAATGACAAACCGTTTGAAGATTTTGAAAG